AATCGAAACAATAAGACAATAAATACACGACAAAATGTGACATTCCTGCGCATGTACCTGACAGGCCTGCATCAATCACCAGTGACATCCGGATTTGTGCGTGGGAAACACACCAATACACACAAACACAGCCTGCTGTTTCTACTGTTTAGACAAACAGGAGGACAATCCCTCCCTCCTGTCTGACTGCAGAGTTGCCACGAGAGCAGCGATCAATCACATTGAACAGTCAGTTTGGTGTCTTCTGTTGTTGGTGTGCAGATCAATCATTCTGCAGTTTAGCCTGAAGTCAACACACCAGAGTCACACTGATTACACACTGAGAGATGAGCAAAAGTTAAAAAATAAACAAGGAGAAATCTAAAGTCATTCTCGACCCTCTGGAACAAAAAGAGGAATGCTGTAAATCAGAACAAGCATTACTATTAGTCCTGTATGGGCTGCTCTGAACTGCTCTGAACTGCTCTAAGATGCTCTAAACTTCTCAAGGCTGCTCTAAGCTGCTCTAGGCTGCTCCAGGCTGCTCTAAACTGCTCCAGACTGCTCCAGACTGCTCTAAGCTTCTCTAGGCTGCTCTAAGCTCCTCTAAGATTCTCTAAACTGCTCCAGACTGCTCTAAACTGCTCTAAGCTTGTCTAGGCTGCTCCAGACGGCTCTAAACTGCTCTAAGCTGGTCTAAGCTTCTCTAAGCTGCTCTAAGCTGCTCCAGACTGCTCTAAGCTGGTCTAAGCTTCTCTAAGCTGCTCTAAGCTGCTCCAGACTGCTCTAAACTGCTCCAGACTGCTCTAAACTTTTCCAGACTGCTCTAAGCTGGTCTAAGCTTCTCTAGGCTGCTCTAAGTTGCTTCAGACTGCTCTAGGCTGCTCTAACCTTCTCTAGGCTGCTCTAACCTTCTCTAGGCTGCTCTAAGCTGCTCCAGACTGCTCTAAACTGGTCTAAGCTTCTATAGGCTGCTCTAAGCTGCTCCTAGCTGCTCCAGGCTGCTCTAAACTAGTCTAAGCTGCTATAGGCCGCTTTAAGCTTCTCTAAACTGCTCCAGACTGCTCTAAGCTGCTCTAGGCTTCTCTGGGCTGCTCCAGACTGCTCTATGCTTCTCTAAGCTGGTCTAAGCTGCTCTAGTCTTCTCTAGGCTGCTCCAGGCTGCTCGACGATGCTCTAAGCTACTCTAGGCTGCTCTACTTTTTGTGGTTGATGTTGGATAACTTTGTGGTTTGTCTTGTGGTTGTTTTAAGATGTTTGTGTTGTTCATTGTGTTGTGGTGTTCAGTTGTGTTTTTTGTGGTTGAATTTGGATAACTTTGTGGTATTGTTGTTAGTTTAGTTTGTTGATTTTAGTTTGTGGTAATTTAGTGGTTTGTATTGGTCTTATCTGTTGTGGTTGTCAGTTGTTGGATGATGATTGTTTTGTTTGTCTTCATGTCGGGTAATCAAGTTTGTTTTGTTTGTTTTTTATGCTATTTGATTTTGTTGTTGTTGGGCGCTATTGTTTTTAGTTGATATAGTTCTTAATGGTTAGTTGTTTTTATATTTGTATTGCTACTCTGTTTTTGTTTGTTGTTGTTCTGTGTTCTTGGCGTTATCATGGTTCCTTGTCGTAGTTAAAAACTGTAGAGACATCATGCTGTTAATGATGTGTGTAGTTGCCTGAGTGTGTTTTTTCTTTCATCCTTCACAGAGTCCCAGTCCAGACAGTTGTTCATGACAACACTGTAAAATACCTAAAAATAGATTGCTCTAAGTTGTTGCACATTCTGAGTCAGCAGCTAGATATTCTGCAGATTTCAAACATTGTGTGACTCACAGGAAGTACTACGTGGAAACACAAAGCTAACACAAAGCTAACACACTGACTAATACGTGTAACACCCCGCTCGTCTAGACCGTTTATCTCGGCCATAATCATAAGGGGCTTTATAATAGTAGAGCCAGGTGTGTGTGTGTGTGTGTGTCATTGTAAATCCACGGTGATAAACGATGTGTCAATACAGGAAGCAGGGGAAGAAAGTGGGACGGACCGCATTGTGCCATAACCATCAAATGACTCTTTGCAGACTGAGCTATGGCACAGATTTTAGGGTGAACATTGTCTGAAAATGTCCCTTTAAATAAATAGTTTTACAGCCCATGATGTAAAATAACCCTCTGATAGCTATAGCACATAAAGGTCTGTCACGCTCTTTAAGTGGGAAACAAATGAAAGGACAAACAATCATTCACAAAAACATTTTATTGTAGAACAAGATGCTAGCTTCTTCAAGAGCTTTGAATTTACATTTGAGGTTTCACAAAGAAACATGGAGGTATACCAGACTACAGATGGAGCCACCTTAAATTCCCCGTGTGTCCGTGGTGGGGCCTTGACCGGTCCATCCTGGCTCCGTGCTTGGACCTGGCAGAGTCTGTGACTGAAATTAGATGTAAATGGGGAGTGTACCTGACAAGCAGAGTGTGAAAACAGAAGTGATGATGCAATCATGAGAAATACAAGTGATTTATTTTGGGGGTTTTCCTGCTTTATTTTAGAGATAGGACAGCGGATAGAGAGAGAGAGAGAGAAAGAGAGGAAGAGATAGAGAGAGAGAGAGAGAGAGCGAGAGAGAGAGAGAGAGAGTGCGGAATGACATGCCACAGAAAGAAAACAGAGTGAAGTCTGGGAAACGAACAGATGTATAGTAAGTGTTGTGTTATCGCTTCAGTCCAAACATGAAGGACGGGCTGTGTGAATGTGGTTCAGTGAACGTTTCATCACAACAGATGCACAAAGTGACCACGGAGGAAATGAGAGGGACGCCGAGCGGTCAGGCATTCAGAGAAATTCCTCGGCTTTGAAGAAGTACGAGCTGCAGAAGAATTTACAAAACACAGTGACACGTTCAAAACACATTCTTCATACACTTCTTCTCCTCTCTTTAAAGATCCTTTTACACTGATCATTTTAGGTCGAAAGATAATCTCTAGGTTGATCAGTGATGTTCCCGGGGTCATTGAGGATTTTGGGTCTTTGAGCGTCACACCCACTTATCAACCCATACAGGGTTGATCAAGTCCTGAATTGCATCCCAGCAGCAGTAATCCACATGCCCGCCGTCTTTTCCCAAAGCATCATCGAGTGGCCTTTCTCTGCAGCTTCAGTGATGGTACGTATGCCCCCTCCTCTTCAAAGCTCCGGTAACTCAAAGACCCTGTCAGAGCTTTACAGAGAGAGCACGCAGGAAACCCCCGGCAGCCCACTTCAATCAGCTCACAGAGACCCCACCAGTCTCTGATTCTGCACTGCCCCACCAGCTCCTGGTACTTTACAAGCTTCCTCTCGTAAACCTCCTCCATGTGTTCATCCTGTTTTAAATACATCTGTATGTACATCTAAATGTTTGCATCTATGATTTAGGAGTTCGACAAAGTTGTCGGTTGCATCACAATATTCTCGTGCGCTCTCAATCAGGACGCTGATTTAATTTGTTGATTCAGAGACGAAGTCATGAGGATGATTGGTTGCTGGCTTGTAGCCACTTCTTGTTTAAGATGACCCACCCATTTTAACAAACTGATTGCCTGAAGAAGGTCTAGTACCGAGATGTTGCAGTGAATGGGAGATTATTTTACAGTGTTTGATGGACACATTGCTCTCCTACATACCTGTCGTGTGGATTTTTTTCTATTTTGCATTAAGCAGGCAAGATGGGCACTCAGATAGTGCCCATCTGAGTGCAGGAGAAAGACCACCACACGACTCTCAGCCTCCACCATCGGACTGTGTCGTCCCCTAAACCACCGCCGTCCTCATTCATACACGGCCTGTTCCGACCTCCACCTCAACGGCAAGGAAGTGTGGACAACAGGAACGTAAGGAATACAAAGGAGAAATCCTTCCTGCATATTATCCCATATTCTCTTTTCTAAAGCGGATCGAGATAACACTTGTTATGAATTTGCGCTTTACAAGTAATGATTGATTGATTGATTGATTGAAAAACTGTTTACAATGACGGTGGATGGATGTGCAGATGGTTGAAAATAATCTGGGAGAACTAGAGAAGAGCGTTCAAGAAGTGCATAACAATACTGAGTTATTTTTCCACCTCTGTGTTCGGTTCTTTTTTTCCCTTGTAATAACTGTGTTGCGTAAGCTGTTTTGTAACTGGGCAGATTTGAGGACACAAAATCAAATTAAATCAAATCAAATAGTATTCAAGAGAGAATGTTTGTCTGTTGTTGTCACAGCATGTGTGTGTCATTAGACGACTCTCATGACAGGAGAACAAACAGTTACACAAGCAGTCATTGTCCACTGATGAAGGATGACATCATTTTCAAGGAAATATGATAAGATAAAATAAATCAGATGTACTAAAAATTCACCCGGGCCGACCAAGCGATGACTTCCATGGGAATTATAGGATGGGTAATAATGTCCAGGGAAGTGTTTTTATGGACACTTGATGTCACCATGATATAATCAGTTCATGTTTGGGAAGAAGGCTCACATAAATAAATCAGAAATCCAGTCTATCCTGTGTAAATGTGTCTCTGAGTCATGACTGTCTACAATGAGTGAGAAGCTCGAGTCCCGCTGGCTGTGTTGTTGTCAGAGCCGTGTTTACATGGACGGGAAGGCCGGCTCCTCCCCATGCAATGTGAAGCTACAAGCTAACCAAAGAGCGCTAACATTAGCATGCTAACACAACAATGCAGGACACAGGCAATTTCAGCTCGAGCAAAGGACACACTTGTCCACCGCTTGCGCTGAATGGTGCTTAATTGTGGAGCGTTCTAATTGAAAAATCCTTCATGTGAGCTTGAGTGTAGAGGGGTTGGAGGTGTGTCGCTGGAGGAGAGCGGAGGCTTCAGTATGGAGGAGGCGTGGCCAAACAGCAGTTTCTTTTGGTTTCATGCTGGAGCTCAAGGGCGACAACTACTGGATCAAAAAGTCGCACGTTCTTCCTTCAAAATGTACAAAGCTACTCTGACAGTAACATTACAAACATTTACAAACACTTCAAGGAATGTTAACATAATTTTATTAAAATTTTGCACATTTCTTTAACTTTTTTTTCACTTTAGATTAACACAATGTACAATTAAATAATACTAAAGAGATGTAAATGTTTGATTTTAACATCCTAATATACACATTTTAATGCCTACACATTTAAACCCAAAGTTTCACCAGGCAAACATGTGAGTCACTCGTGTTCCTCCCTACTCATCAGGAGAGCGAGGGGAGGAGGAGAGAGGGTCAGCGAGTCAGAAATGGGTTACTAAAATCAGAGACATCCCGCTATCAGGGATCAATGGAAGCTGATAGTTTCACAGGCGGCTCCATTGATCCTTTTCAGTTAATCATAGAGAGGCGTGAGCACGAAGAGTTACAACCAGAGTCGACACAGACACCCTATTGGACACACGTGGCAGCAAGTTGGCACAGAAAGGGAGATTTAATCTGATGGCACAGCTGGATGTCACTGAGCGGAAATAAAAAACGATAACATGATGTGCACACAAACATCTGTGTGCTCTAATAAAGGGGACCTCCTTTAACCTCTGCACATTCATCTGAACATTTGTCAGGAGCTGATACAACAAAAAGTTTTGGAATCCTTTCAGTAAATGTCTTCAGCTGGACGTAAGGAAACCGGCTGTAATGGCTGCAATGTGATGCTGCTCAAAGTGTCCCTAACAGGCTCAGACTGTTTGACAGGAAGGCTCCCTACAGCGACAGACCTTCATGTTAACGAGGAAGATGACGTTTTTAAACAGAGACAGCCACTACAATGTGCTCAAAGCCACCGCACTCCCTTTACAAAAACCTAAGCGTGCTTAGGCATGCTACAGATTGCCTAGTGTGAGTGCGCCCTCAGATTAAAATTCTGGGCCTGTTAATGACAAAAACCAGCCGTGTTATTGGACATACTTTGATGACATCACAGCAACCAGCATATTTTGCAGCCACCGGCAGAGAAATCCACTACAAACCTTTTTGTACCCACGATTTATGTAGTCTAAAAACATTTCAGAAAAGATGCCAATCATTAAGAACAGAGTCTCCTTACAGGCGCGACTAAACACTCGCTGACACACACAGTTTCTCTTGCAGACGCCGAGGCGAGCTTCAGAAAGCAGAGTGGGAAGTCCGGCAATGAAAGGAGATCCGAGATTCCTTACAAGACGGAGGCAAACCCGGGGCGTCAGAAGGTCCTGCAGAAAGGAAGGAAAGGGCTTGTGCATGTTGACATAGATGCTGGAGGAGACACACACACACACGCGCACACACGCGCACACACGCACACACACGCACACTGCAGGGGGTTGTGCAACAGCGGCTGCCTTTAAAGAGATCCTGCAGTCAGGTAGGAAATTCCCTGGTCACAGTCCCAGCATTCCTGAGGTGCAGAGTTATTACCGCTTGCCACATCCAAGTGTCGCACAGGTGGTGCGTTGGTGTCGCACCACCACGTGTGTGCGTGTGTGTGCGTGTGTGTGCGTGTGCGTGTGTGTGCGTCTCTCTCTCTCTGACAGACGATTAATGAGCAGGAAGTCCAAATAAGTGAGGAAGGTTCAAGCTCATGACCTTCCCTGTCCAAGTCAAGTTCCTCACAAGCCAAAACAGGACGAAGATGTCTGCATGTGTGCGTCAGCGGCCAAAAACAACAACAGGTCAGAGTGTGTGTTTGATCCCCCCATGAGGTCGGAGACGGGTTCCGGGCGTTCTAAGAGCCACTGTAGCTAGAAGTGTTCACTGTGTGTCATTTCACAGCGGAGAAACAGTCCCACTGCACAAGATCACAGGCTTCAGTCCGGCCCCTTTGTGCTGTTACGACTCCCCGAGGGACGCGGCAGCTAAACACCATTTACCTGTCACGCTAACACAGCGGCGTCACGTCACACCCTGCCTGTAAAATAATAAATATAACCGTCTGCATCCTTTACAGCTCAAAATGAGTCCTCAGACCTGATACAACTCCAATAAAGTGATGTGATCGGATACAGGAAGTGGATGGAAGTTTCAGCTCCAGCAGAGCCAATTAGGAGGATTTAAATGTGTTACATGAGCAGTGAGTGTGATTATGATGTTTGTGTGTGTGTGTGTGTGTGTGTGTGTGTGTGTGTGTGTGTGTGTGTGTGTGTGTGTGTGCTAGGCACTGGACAACATTGTAGATGTGAAGATCTGCTGCAGGATTTGGGGGATCTGCTTGGTGTCCATGGCAACGAAGGATCTGCCAGCTGGAAGGGTCTTCTGGAGTCTGAAAAATGGAAAAAAGGAAGAAAAAACGGTTTGACTGAACTTTAGCAAGAGAATCGTTTCCCTAAATATAAAAGACAGACTTGTGCTTGTTCGGTGTGTGAATCACTTCTAGAGGATGAAGAGTGAGTGAGTGAGTGTGTGTGTGTGTGTGTGTGTGTGTGTGTGTGTGTGTGTGTGTGTGTGTGTGTGTGTGTGTGTGTGTGTGTGTGTGTGTGTGTGTGTGTGTGTGAATGAATGTGCGGTCATTCACATGGTGGAGCGAGGACAACACAGCCTCTTCTTCTTCCTCTGATGGCACTCTTTCTTTTTCTTCTGCCCTCCCAAATGATCAGAAACATTCCTCTTCAACAGTTTGTACTCCAGAGAGATGAACAGTCATCAGGAATATAAAGAGCCTTTTTTAAAAGAGTCCGAACTTCAAATTACGTAACAGTTATGTTCGGCTTCTGAGGACCACCTCTTCCTAGCTTGCATGCTTCCATGACATGTGAGTGTTTTATTGTCATCCCTCTTTCCCCGCACCAAACCTTTGAGTCTGCAGTTAGGGGGGAATTTGGCTGTTTTTAGAGAATCTATTTTTAGATATTTTATGATCTGAATGACTTAAAGGTCCAGCATTTTTTTGTCCTCTAAAATGTGTTGTTTTTGTCACTGATTATTTTAAAGGTACTCTATTATGCTGATCTATTTAAAAATCAGAGGCAGAGGGCTCTGAAGGGCTTGTTCTGCAAATCACGAGAATCAACTGATCATTTTATGAGACGGCTTCCAGCCTCTAGGTAAGCTGTTGAAACCTCTTACATAGACTCTCTTCCACCAGCATCCCTCTCCTGGCAGCCCTGCAGCGTTTTCCAGAGAGCTGGCCAATCAGAAGAGAGTGGGCACATGGGTAGGCGGGGCTTAAAGGGACAACAGCTGAAACTGAATGTTCCAGTCAGAGGCTGACATTAGGGTTTTTACTGACGCCAGGTTACGAGGCAAGGTGAACATGAGGATAAATGGGATCGTTAAAGAGTTCATGTCCTGAAAAAAGCCGGAATTAAGAGCTCTTTGCATCTATCAGTATGTCAGGTGCTTTACTCCAACCTTTATTTGATCTCCACCCATCTTACCTTTCAGCCTGATCGCCGAGCGATCCGATAAAGATGGCAAAGGCGTTGACCTGCGGGTCGGACGTCAGGACTTGGGCGAAACGCTCGGGTCGGATGCCGTAGCGCTCCAGGTTGGCGTCGCTGAGCACCACCACAAAGTGCTCGTCTGCCTCTTCTCGCGCCAGCTCCTTGATGCTGGCGTCGGTGCCCTCCAGGGTGAAGTCGCCGCTCATGCAGAACTGAGCGTGTGCATGCATGTTCTGCAGTGGAAGAATAACGGACAGTCTGACTTCACTGACCTCTCTGTATCTCAGAGGGGGAGAAATGATTTGTGGTTTTTGAGCCTGCTGTGGCTGGAGATACATACCTTGAGGACTTTGAGTCTCTGTTTGTTGTTTTTGGGGACTTTATCCGCTCTGACCAGCTCGATGTCGTAGCCGTCGCCTGAGTGTCCCACTATGTCATACTGCAAAGAGACAACAGGTAAATGAAACGGTATCAGACCAAATTAATACAAATGACAATGAAACATTTCAATGATTGCACAACAACACGTCTGTGTCGACCCCCTGTTGTGTCCTCATGAAGGACCTAGAATAGACCGTGGACTGAACTGACGCAAGTTGTGATTTTGCAGTGACGTCAGAACATAACTTATACCTGCATGTTAACCCTGTCATGCCAACATGCCTCCTATAGACAATCCATCACAGCTGGCTTACATAAGCCTGGATCAGCACTGAGGGTCTACTGGGTTATTTCAGGGACTCAGGTATTACGTATGAGAACTATATCTAATGAGGACAGCTGTGACTGTGCTGGTCAGAGTGTGTGACTTTGTGTCTCTCGTCTGTTCTTATCGCTGTTGCTGGGTAGAACTGATGTTTCCTCAAAGGTTATTGGATCACAATCAGAGTCTTTTCTTTGGATGAGCCAAACTCTTTTTAAACCTCAAGGACAAACACTTTCATCCAAAAACATATAATCACACGAGTGAACTAAAAGTAAAGTTTTCCTCAACGACACAGATATAAAAGTCTTCTGTTCTATTTTTGTCTCGTCAACACGTCTTATGGCTCTTAAAAAAAAAAAAAACGGGCCATGAAACTGTAAAGTGACAAATTCTTAAGCCTCATGTTTCATCACTCCATCTGTATTTTACATGCACAGAAATCCTGAATAGATTTGACCTCAGACTAGTACAGCATGCCTTACACTGACACGCACACACATGCGCGCACACACAAACACAAACAATGTGACCTGTATGTAGCACACACACATACACACGTCTTATGAGTTATCAGATGCCTTTTTATGTAACGGCTGTTATGCAACGAGAGAAGTCATACTGACATGTGACGTACATGACATGTTCAGCAGCTATGATACACGTGTATGCGTGTGTGTGTGTGTCTGTGAGGCAGTGATATGTGATCAGTATTAGGTTGTGTTGTGTGTCACTGAGGGGCCAAGAAGTCTGTCTCCCTTTCTGTTTCTTTGAACAGTCCCTCTCCCCCCGACTCTCCGTCTCGTGTTCTCCATCGTTTTCATCATCCCCCTCTTCTTGCCAAAACTTGCTCCTCATTTTCTATTAATAATAATAACTGGCCAATGATATCTGTTTTCTTTGCATGCCCTTCTTTTAGAGGTCATCAGCAAAGTTACTGCTGTGACCTCCATGAGTTTTGTTAAGACCACACAGGTTGAGGTTAGGAGGGGTCATAGGTGGGTTTATTGACTCAGCAATTATGGAGATAAAGTCTCGTTCTGCCAAGTTGTGTGAAAAAGATTTTATCCATGAGAGAAAAGCTATGTTGGCTATAGTTTATTTTGTGGCTACTGAACGAAATACAAAGTGCTGTGACTGGAAACCTTATTAGAAGTTTTTCTCTTGAGTAAAATGGCTTAAAATCAAATTTTAATGCTTATTTATGATTGACAGCTGCAAGAGAAGGAACAGACGAATCAACACATTATGCTAACGTGATCTTTTTCTCGAACCACACTTTCCTCTTTAAGCATATTTCCCTTCCTCATCCGTCTTTCCACAGCCATCATTATACCTAAACTTGCATTTGCATGTAAACTGTTAAAAGCATATTTGCAGATATGTGATTGCCCCTAACCCTTCATCTAATTTCTTATCTAAATGGAAAGTGAATTATTTATGTCTATGGGTAATTTCACACCACAGAAGACAAAAATTACATGTGGAGTTCCCCAGGGCTCCATCCTGGGGCCGCTTTTGTTTCTAAAATGGTGGAACAGTGGAACATCTCCATGCTTGCACTGGCTCAGGTCATAGAAAACAACAAAATAAGTTTCCATAGCTACACAGCTGCTGGTTTATAAAGCGCTGAATGGTTTATGGTGGAAATAAATCAGATACCTTCTGATATATTAGGAACAATCAGGTGGTCTGGTACAAGACCACTCTCTGTCTACAGAGTCAGAACCAAACATGGAGAAGCAGTGTTTAGTTTCTATTCTCCGTATATCCGGAACAAACTCGAATTAAACTGCAGGTCAGCTGAATCTCTCAGTTCTTTAAATTCAAGGTTGAAGAAGTGTGTTTGTTCTAATAACTTTTAAATTAATTTGTATTAAAGTTTCTTTTCTCTTTGTCTGGATGCTTTCGATGTCTCGTAGGAAGCCCTTTAAATTGCCTTGTTGCTGAAACTTGCAACATAAATTAAAGTCGCCCTGCCTTGCGTTGATGTTTGCTGTGACCTTCTCACCTTAAACTTGTGCTCGTAGTTCTCCAGAGCCTCCATGACCATACACACAGCCTCCATGGAGCGCTCCAGCCGGCCGTCCACGCCGTTGAAACGGTACATGCTGCCCGACACGTCGGCTAACACTCGAAGACGCTTCGGCTTCTGCTGAGGACTGCCCAGCTGCAGAGTACACAGAAAAAACATGCACCATATTCATCATTAAGGTAATCATCTAAAAACAACACCTGCTTTGGAAAGTGTTTTTGTTGAACCTGGTGAAGCTTTCTTAAAATAATGATCAACACAAGGCCAACATCTCTACACTGGCTGCCATTACATCAATGCAGACCTTCAGGCCAGACCAAAACTATGCAACACTTGGACAACATGTATATTATGGTTGGTGTGTGTTTGCATAAAACTGTGGGAACTATCTCTCTGCTGCGTCTGCGTGTGAGCATACATGGCAGAATGAAGAAATGTGTAAAAAAAAAAAAACTGACTGTGAGCAGAAACACGGGGTGCAAAAATAATCTCACACGCACCATCGGAATGTATCGTCTGACAGATAAAGGTCAAAATTATGTGTGTGAGTCTGGGAGTGTGTGTGTTTAAAGGTGTGGCTTGGGTTAGTTAAACACACACACACACACACCTCTGGGTCCAGCTCTCCTCGCCGTTTATATATAGCCTTCTCTCCAGTCAGACCGTCGATGATTTTAGCATCATCCAAATCTCCCAGAGCCTGGTTCTTCAGCCACTGACGCTCCTTCCCTTTAGCCTGAAACACACACAAACACACACACACACACACGAACACACAAGTTTGATGTTATGTACCAATCAAACAAAAATATTAAACACATTTCATAATCTGTCTGCGGAGGATGATTTTGGTGGGACGCTCAGGAAGGACAGATTGTGAAATGAGGTGATAACTCCAGACAGCTGTAATTCAAACTAACATATTACACACAAGAAGACAGATTCAAAGTTTATACAGAATACATACACAGTTATAAAGGAGTTGATCGCACACTGCACAAACAAAGGTGGATAAAATGTATTTTTTTCAACTACAAACACCCACATCTGAAGGCACGTTTGAGGCTCAGAACTCAAACAGAAAATTACAGGAAGGAATTTAATCTACACTACGACGACAGAGACCAAAGACAAGTTCCGCACAAACACTACATCACAAGTACACAACACAAAGACATTTCGTCAGAGATTGCAGGTGAGGTTACAAGAATATGCTAGATTGGAGAGGAAACAATCATGACCGCTCCATACAAGAGGTTTTCTGCCTTCTATTTACGAGGATTACACACGTGCTCATTGCATATTTGAGTTGACTTAAATTATGTTCCTCTTGTTTATGAATTCTTTGATGAGTATCCATGGCCCAGCTAGTGCAAGTATAATTCACATGATGTTTTTTTTGTCACAGCAGCAATTACAGCAACAGCACTAGAGGTGGGGAAGATTCGATTTATGTAAAAATCAAGGTTCTCATCTTGTGAGATTTTAAATAGATTCATAACTTTCAAAAATCAGTCACTCCCTGCTAAGTGCTAATGCTAGCTCTTTAACTCAGTAGACTGCCAAATGGAGGAGCAAGAAATTCAGCCAGTCTCACAGATGACTGGAGTAGATCCTGAAGTATGGACTAATTAAAGAATAGACTTTGAATCATGAATCAGAATCGTCTCGAATTGAAAATACTGTAGATTCTCAATTGAATCGTGAGACACCCAAAGATTCCCAGCCCTAAACAGTACGGCAGCTTTCAGTGGCAGCTCCCACTTTCTTTGACATAGCATCCGGTGTTTCCACGGCAACAATAAACATGTCGTGTCTGTCATGGCTGCTGCCGCGACGAGACACTTCCTGTTAACATCTATAAAAATGAAGGATTTCTCTGGCTTTGGTAACTGTTGGAAATATTTGAGGTGCTGTAAGTACTCGTTTTTAATTCATTTAGATATTTTAGGGTAAACATTTTACATATTGCATGTTTAAAAAGTCTTGTGCGTTAGGGAGAGAGGAGAAGGACGGTGCCTCTCTCCTGTCCTCAGTTCACTCCCTAAAGAAAGGAGAGCGTCTTCACAGAACAGAAGGTTAACAAAGGAAGGAACACGATCTGCTCCGACACACCCTCCTCGGGTCAGCCTTCACAAAGGTCTGCAGTGTTGATATTCAGCCTCGAGTTTTTGACATAACACATGACGTGTGTCCACAGCCTCATGACTAAACGTCTCTGGTAAGATGTGAACAACAATGCTTGTCACTTGTTTGGAGATTGATACGTTGGTGAAAGTGCACTCGGTGTTCACAGAGCTTTAGATGTTCACAACAGATTTCCCCACAGGACGACACGTGTTGGTGTGTAAGATACTTTGTGTCACACCCTTTTCCCATGACTGCAGCAAATATAGAAACATTAAGAGTTCAAAAGGAAGGATTCGGAAGCGTTAATCAAGTTTGTGGAAATTTTCCTAGAGTGCACGTGCAATAATCCAGCATTTTATCTTACCCTCTTTCAAACTGAGACATCCTGATGCAGGTAGACACCATTGTCCACATAGATTCCTGCCATGATTCACAACCTAAACTGGGTCAGATTTCCCTTCCCTAAGTGAACATTTGACTGGTTAGCCTTAAGCAGAGCTGTTCAGTAGTACTTACATAATTACATGAATATTACATAATATTTGAATTTGAAGCCTTTCTTACAGATTCAGTTTTAATGACTTGATTTGACGGTTATAATGAATTTAAAGCTTTAAAGACACCCAACATCTCTCCGGGAAGACAACAATTACGTATTTAACTCAAATTCACAGGTCGGCTGATGTTTCTCGAGTCCTTTTTGTCATTTTAAAAAAGATGCAAAAGTTACGTTTATGTCTCGTACAGCGCTGTATAAAAGTTACTAAAGTGCAAATCTATTTCACAGGAGAGTGGGTAGGAGAGGAATGAGTCCATCACAATTTCCATACAAACTCCACACACTGTTTATGGAGCAACCACTGCTTGACAAGGAAAGTCCACCAAAAATATTGCATTAATTTGTAGACCTAGAGCGAATCTTTTATTAGATAACTGTCATTAAAAAAAGAACAGACTCTCTCTGCTCCCACGAGATGTGTCTGTGTGTAAGCTTTCCTGAGAACTCCTGGCAGGTCAGGACGCCTCTGCCAAAGATATGGCTTCATTTTTTGGTAGATTTAAATATACAGTGCATTAAATGTAGGAGAGACTATACGACACAAGGATTATTTTGGCCAGTTAGGACTGATTTGATACTCGGAGACGTTTGATAATAACAGGCCCATGTGGTAATATCTGGCATGCAGGTCCATTGTTGAGAGATGAACAGAGGGGTTTTCCTCAGGGAGACTCAGGCGGGTGGAAACAATACAGTATCAGTTTATTGAAAGCATGCCAGCTAGTGTAAGGAGTGTGTGTGTGTGTGTGTGTGTGTGTGTGTGTGTGTGTGTGTGTGTGTGTGTGTGTGTGTGTGTGTGTGTGTGTGTGTGTGTGTGCGGTTCCTTCAATCACTCCTTAGGTATGATAAAAATAACCTGACTTCATAGCGACACTGGTGGCCTGCGGGGATCTCCATCGTCGATTCAGCGGAGGAAGAAGCCCGGGGCCACAAGGGCACATACAAACAATAACCAACGTTCAGACTCGGCTGCAAACAGCTGGATGTAAAACACAAAAACACACACACAAACATCCACCCACCTCAACGTTTACAAACAGAGCTTCACACCTGGACAGGAGAGCCCGGCTCAGCGTCTCTGCTCTGTAATCATTGGAACGTGCTGCACGTTTCTCCTCTCATTACACACAACAAACACACGCCTACGCACACGCAAACATGCATACACACACACACTCAAACACGCATACACATACGCACACACAGAGGGCAGCACACATGAATGTAAGTGACACACATCTCCGCTCGTAAGCTCAAACAAAAGGAGGAAAGTTGAAACCAAAACATTGGAATACTGAACATATAACATCCTGGATTTTCAGCCACCGCTCGCTGAACTTTAGGTTTTCACTCGACCAATCAGGAAGCTCCTTCAGGACAACGCCCACTCCTTCCTGTCCAAGCGTCATATCATCATGCACACTGTATGAGGTCATCATGTCATGTACTTCCCATACTTTAGTTTTCTTGCTGGCTGAGGTCATCTGGACTGTGCACCTTTTTTTTTTTTTTCCTTCCTCCATCCAAAGTCGGGTTGTATGATATGTCAGTTTTCATATCGCAAGTGCGTTGTGCGCATGACTGGACGTGTGATGCCACGTGCGATGTGATCTGGTGCATGTCATGCTGCCATTTTTTCTTGTTGCTTGATGCAAACAAAAACAACCAGTTTTCTCGTCTTTCATAAATTATCTTCAATCACAGTCTGTCTGATTTCACCGTCAGGTCACAGAACTGACCGTGAATGCAGAGTCTGTGTCTCCCTGCATGTTAAATACAGACATACTGTACAGCACAGTACTAATGGGCTATCATTTCGGGTATATTGTTTTTATTTAAGGGTCTAACCGACCACCAGTCGCTCACAGCTATGACAGTAAAAACTAAAAGTAAAGTGCATTAAGAAACTTGAACTTTAACAGAATTTTAAAAAGCTAATACTGAAAGGATTGTGAGGAACATTTTGAAGGAATTCAACAATTTCTCCAAACTTCATTGACTTATTTTCCACTTACTCCTGCAGGGAATTTAACTTTTGTGCTTCAGCGAATTTCAACAGTGCTTAAAGAATGCATGAATGAAAATAAGTCATGGTTAAAATAAAGAACTAGGTGAAATGGAGTGGTGTGACGCTGACCTGTAAATTGTCCAGGATGATTCGTAGAGACTGAACTTGTCTTCGGACTGCGCTGGAGAATCGCTCGTAGGTTGAGGCATCGTACTCGCTCATATCAATCTCCCTTAACCTAAGAAGGAAAGGGAGAGAGAAACAGAGAAAGAGGAGATACATGACTTTATCTGATACTTCTTAGGCAAACAAGTAATTTAATCAAAACTAAAAGAATTTGGGATTATCCCAAAACAAAGCCCAGGACTTCCCCCCCAAACATTTATTGCAAGAACTACGTGTGCTACTGCAAACATGATCTATGTCTTACTTTTTCTTGTCCTGCTTTTGCAAAAGAATTGCGATTTTTAATTTCACAGCAGGTTAGTTTGTGGGTCATGAAAACACTGGCCTGATTCAGAGAGGCAGAATGACGTCATTTTAGCTCTAGACACCTGTGATGAACTGACACAGGGGTCAGTGTTGTTAAATCTGGTGTGTGTGTGTGTGTGTGTGTGTGTGTGTGTGTTCCCTCTAAAACACACCTGTGCACATGAAAAGACAGGTGGGCTGTGACCACCATGTCGAGTTTATCCTTTTAATCCCACCATGCAGGTACTTTACACACACACACACAATCCTCCTCCTGTGCACTGAAGAGTGTGAGTGCGTGTGTGTGTGTGTGTGTGTGTGTGTGTGTGTGTGTGTGTGTGTGTGTGTGTTTGTGTGTGTGTGTGTGTAATGAAAGGATTGAGAGAATTGGTGGTATTCTCTGTCAGTTGTTTGAGTCTTTTGGTGACAATCAGACCATAACACCACAGAGATACAGAACAGGGACTTCAAAACAGACTTAATGTGTCACAGCTTGCAACAAATATGTGTGTGTGTGTGTGTGTGTGTGTGTGTGTGTGTTGCAGAAGCAGTGTCAGACGTGTGTTTTGTGAAGACTGCATGAGCATCAGCCATGCAATCAATTAGACAACATATGCACCTTAACACACACCCACATTCTCTCCCTCAGATGACTTCTTCAAACACATGATATAACAAAACTTTCAGACAAAATAAAAAAAATAAAAAAAACATCTATTGTTTGATATCATGCTACATGGTTTATTTGGTCTGGTCCCTAATCACACTATCTATGGCAATGTTCCTCCTTTCATTTTTCTGCAAGGCACCATGCAGGCAAGAAATGTACAAGGAAACAGAAACAAGTATGAACAGGATTACACTGAACCAGGTCATTCAGTATACAGCTCTGGGAAACATTAAGAGACCAGGGCAAAGAAAATGTTTTTCTCAGGTTTCAACTATTTCCACGTTTTTGTAAATGCACTACAACGCAGATTTGGTTGATGTTCGTCAAGCCTCTCTCCTGTTTACAGCTTGTTCCAAACGCTGCAGTCAGAGGCGCTGCTTGTCAACAGGCAAGGCAGAGAGCTGACAAATTTTAAACCAAAGCAGCGACCCGTAATGTGCAAGATTTTGCAATGACAGTAGGAAAACTCCCTAAGGGGGGCCCCATCGGACAGTACGCACTCTCATTGTCCTGCTGAACGCTGGTGGAGGCCCCCCCAATTGACTTTTGCCTCTGGCCCGAACGGACTCTAGAATCGCCACTGGCTTCAGATTAAGGATTGATTTGAAGATTTCATTACTGACATGTACATCTGTAAACGGGCTGGCTCCTTCTTTTACCGCGGACACTTAGCTGCACCAGTCAGTCGCTTCTAACGGTCCTGAGGTCAAGGTTGAAGCTCAGGGGTGAGCAAGCCTCCACATGCGCAGCTGTCCCAAACACTGCCTGTTTAAAATCACTATCTGTCTTAATACCTTTTTACTTTTTATGCCCTGTTGCTTTTACATTGGTCTTGGGTCGTGTTTTTTTTTTTGTTTATGTTTGATTGTCCCGTGTAGGAACCAGATGTGCTTGGGTGGTCTCATCTGCTCTGGGGTCCTTCGGCTGCGTTTTTTTGTATGATGTCACACATTGTGATTGGCTGTCAGAGAGTCGGAGAGAGAGATCAACGTCTCCTCATGAAAGAGGAAGAACTCAAATACACGGCGTCCAAGCTGTCCTTGAACACAGTGGATGAGAGTCCCTGTCTGAACATATTTACAGGTACATGCCAATATTCAATGTTTGTTATGACGCCACCTACTGGTAAGAGACAGTAAGCCTCATGTAACATGTTTCACCCGTTCAACATCACTGTCACTTAAACCAAATCTCAAATTGGAGGGAAATAAACTTATCAAAAAATATATGAAACAAAGTCCCTAAAGCAAACACAAAAAAGCATTTCCAATGACAAGAAGTACAACATACTGGGACCTTAGACTGGTGCAGTAGCTGTAAATAATGTTTGTCACTTCTTTTAATGAAAATAAATGATGTATTTTTGGATTTGCACGTGTGTTGGAGTCACAGTCACTGATCTTCAACCTACCACACGATGTCAAATCCAGTATGAAACTCACTTTACCCTCCAGTTATTTGGGTCTCCTGTCTGTTTGTCTGCATTCACACCACATCATGTCAGCCCAAGAAACGACAGCGACTTCCTGCACACATTCCAAGGTATGCACATGACTCTGTGTGTGTGTGTGTGTGTGTGTGTGTGTGTGTGTGTGTGTGTGTGTGTGTGTGTTTATGCATGTGGTGAGCAGACACTCCGGCCAGTGGCTTCAGCTATTTCCTTCGAAATTCCTGAACTTTGACTTAAACTGGAGAGTGAAACAGGCGGATCTGGCTCGAGGTGGAGAAAGGAACCCAGACATTTCACACACAGAAACCGAATAATGCAACTCCCCCTGATTTATTTTGCAAGTTACGATGCATCTAATGACAAAAACAGAATGTTGTTGTACTTGTGCTTCGTGCAAACATCTGTAATTAAAATCTCCCATAGAGGTCAATCTCAGTGCTCCTTGTGGTTATTGTGATATTGGTTGGGGTAGTGAAATATTTCTGAGAGTCTCTGAGCTGAAATAAAAGTTTGAAATATGGTAAACGCTTCACAATAACGACTTATCCCACATTCATCCATTATGAAGCGAGGGTTTCTATTTACTTAAGTGTTTCTTGAACATGAAGTAAGTTTTTGATTCACAGCAGAAGGTAACTCTGTTTTCTCTTTAACCTGTAAAGGTCTCAATGATGCCAAATCCACTTCACCATGTTTCTCTAATTCTTATGTATCTCTAGTCTGTCTACAAACCCCCAATGACGAGAAAAGTCCATCCTCTCCGTCTTTTGCCTGCTCCCCATTTCAGAAAATGTGTGCTCAAACAGGCCGTTTGGAGATGTTCTCTTCATGACATCACAAAGGGCAGTAACCCCTCCCCCAGGTGGGTGACACTCCCACAGCTAGGTGTTTGTTCTGCCCTCTGAGTCTGCCTTCTCACCGTAAACAATAGGACATGGAGCGAGAAAGCCCGAGACACCAAAGCCCTTCCAGAGAGGGGGCGTGGTCAGACACAGCTCATTTACATATTTAATACAGACACAGAAACAGCCTGTGTCTGATGAACAGAAAACATAATGCAGCCGTTTAATTACATGCATCCTATGAACATGCACTAATGTCAGAATGAGGGGGCTTCCCACAGGGGGCATCTGACTTACTCAAGGACACCTCGTCAGTGCACAGGAAGTGAACTGGCACCTCTCCATCTACCAGACCAATTTCCAGACTTTGTCCACACCGGGACTTGAACCTGTAGTCCTCTGGTTCCCAACTCAAATCCTTACAGACCGAGCTATTACCTACTTGCTCCATACTTATCCCTATAGAATGTACATGAAATACACTCATGCTGGTGCCTGTATGTATGTGAGGCAGTGACTTACAGCCAACACAGAAACACATGATGAAGTTTATACTGACTGATTGTCATGTTAATACATAAATAAATATATTCATTTGTTTTCTCTTTAAAGCTGGTATCAAACCCTCAGGGGAGACACAGATTTAGTTTTTCTAGAGAAGTGTGTGTTTGAGTGTGTGAGTGTATATGAGCTCACGTGGGCGTTTCTTGTGTTTGGCATACCTGAGCCTGTTTTTGCTTGTGTGTGTGTTTGCCAAGTACTCGAGGTGGTTTATGGACGGATAATAATTTGATTGATAGTCGAGCTCAAGTAAAACAAACAAAGGATTAAACACACATCAGCGTATGAGGAAATATGGAAAAAAGCCTGACAGAGCTGGCTTGCGATATGAAAACAAATCAAGCAGGCAGGCCTAGCTGTTCTACACCTCAGGTATTTTATGATGTGTGTGTGTGTGTGTGTGTGTGTGTGTGCTCACCTGTTGTGTTTATACAGTCAGGTACAGTGACATGAACTTAGACGCAGGGCATCATGCGTGTAGCTACAAGAGTTTACTGTCTAAGGGGGACACTGATAGACAGGAGGGAGAGAGATGAAGGGAGTGAAAAGACTACAAATAAGAAGAGAGGTAGAGGAGAGGGGAGAGGAGAGTGAGAGGTTGTCCTCTTGGTGTGAAAGCAGCCAGTGTGTGAGGACGACCATGCAGGGGGGAGGAGAAGGCGGGGGGGGGGGTTAAGAGAACGAGACTGTTTGAAGGGAAAGAGAACAGAGACGGCCTTCATGGTTGAGCTGGTGAAAGGGGTGCCCTCTCAACCCTGCACTCTGAAGCCAAAGTGTGGATGTCTAAAGACACACACACACACACACACACACACACATACATACACACACACACACACACACACACACACATACATACACACACACACACAGCTCAGTGGGATCTACCGTTGCATTCATGCATCCAGCCGGGGCCCTGCAGCCTATGGATGTTTGCCCAGGATGGAGTAGCGTACCTGGGATGGCTGACTGAATGGGACACCCTGCAGATGTCCCAAACGAAAATTCCCCCCACACACACACACACACACACACACATGTTCCACATTACACACATTACACTCTATGAGGAGGTGGAAAAAGTCCAAAACATCTGTACACTTCCACAGAGTTTCCAGCCTGAGAAGCTCTCTCAGTTTGAACACGGCTCAGGACCATTATAACCTTCCTATGCTTGAGATCACTTTATTTTGTGACAGCTGAAAAGAGCCGGGACATGTTGGGAGGAGAGAGTGAGGGATGACATGCAGCAGAGGGCCACTGCGATGAGGACTGGGGCGCGACATAACCGCTAGGCTACCCGGGACACTCAAAACGTACCTTTCTTTGAAGGCCTTTTCACCCATTTCTCGCGCAGCTCTTCGGACGTCCTCGGGCACTGCATCTTTCTCGGCCTGAGAAACCTGGAAGACCTTGTGTCCTGCATCCAGCCGATAGGGACCTCCTTTGCCACCCAGGCCGGCTGTGTCTCTGCCACCTGCAAACAAACATCTCATCAGGGTGCCTTCACAATCTCAAATTACAAAATGTGTGTGAAAGGATTACAGGAAGGATCCCTGGGGAGATGAACCTATTTGTTAAACTGTAAGGGCGCGGTCACACTGGCCATCTGTACCGTGACGTACTCAAGCACGTTTGGTCCCCTGCTGCGCTATTCCCGGTCACACTACACGACTATCTGTGCTCAAGCACGAGAGAGAGAGAGAGAGAGAGAGAGAGAGAGAGAGAGAGAGAGAGAGAGAGAGAGAGAGAGAGAGAGAGAGAGAGAGAGAGAGAGAGAGAGAGAGAGAGAGAGAAAGGGACGCGTAGTCGAGTCCACATCTGCACATCTGAGAACAACACAGAGAAAATGACTCTTCAGTGGGCGTGGGTTCGTATCCCACCGCTGCCAAGATGTTTTCCCTGGTGGTCTAGTGGTTAGGATTCGGCGCTCTCAACCGGGTTCGATTCCCGGTCAGGGAACTACGTTTTTTTTTAATTGCCCCTCGGGGACAAATAAAGTTTTTTGAATTGAATGACAGCTACTTTGTGGCTTATATTGAGTCATTTTAGTCAGATACAGACATGAAACTCTGGATTTCTCCATAATGAAGGCTGTCAGCGTTGTGTACTCATGCATGAAGTGTAACGTGCCGAAGCACACCTCTCCGAAGAGTGCCAAAGCCAAGGAAGTGTACCGTGCGAACTGGACTTTAGGCTTGAAGCGTGCTTGGGCACTAGAGTGGGCACGGTACGGATGGCCAGTGTGACCGAAACCTTCTTTGGAGCCTTAATCACCACAGTTTAGCTCCACACCAGACGTCATTCACTAAACAGTAATTTTACTGGCCTTACAATATGGAGTTGCAGATCAACTCTGCTGTCAGTTGTTTTTTGTTTCTGTATTTTCAACTCTGACTTCCTGGATCAGAACTTACTGTTAAAATCACCAAAGTGACAAAATGATGCCGACAAGTTAGCTAATCCAAGCAGCAGAAGGCGAAGCAGCTTAAGTTTCCTCAAAGTCAAATTACCGCTTTTGTTAATGGGGTTTGGTGAATTTGAAGAAAAACGTTTAACAGCTGTTTCTGCTTAAAAATCATGCTACTCACTAAAATCTCTACATTTATTTGTACTGTAATCAAAGCACTCTGACATTCACAATAAATGCCAAACTATTGATCTGTGCTTCATCCAAGAGATCAAAACCCCCACCCTCCCACCCCCCCTCGACCACTGATGTAAGGCGCCCAGATGTTGGAGGTGGTGAACTCAAAGCCAAGTTCATCTGAAGAGGGCAGTCCTGGGGTGGAGTGGCCCCCAAAAGGGAAACCTCCTCGTAGTAATACGTGTGTAAAACATGACAGTTTTCCCTCCACATTTGTTAGAAATAATTAAATTAGCTCCTGCTGCTGCTCGGGTATCAAACACTTCCTACCTGTGCCTCCTGCCCACTGGTTTCCCCCAACATGAGGAGCGTTGTTGGGGTCGATCTTGCCGTGTTTTGGGGCGGTGACGTCCAGGCCGCTGTCCTTCTGGACGGTGATCTGAGAAGAGGGAAAGAATCTTTTTATTTTAGAAATTCAGAGCCGACATGTCGGTGCAGACACAGATAGATTTGCAGGCGCGGTGAGACTCTGAGGCGAGCCATGGACATCAGAGTCCCGGGTAGTTTGAGGGTTAAAGGGGTCGCTTCAGCTACAACTCACACAGAAAGGAACATTTCATGCTCGTCACTGGTGGTCTCTTGGACCGTTTTAAAGTCTAAATTTCCAGGAACAATAACCCAGTCACTACGGATTATCCACAGACTGGGGTGGACACAGCCACATTGAGGTTCTTTATAAACAGACAGAATCTTATCAGGAGTGACATTAACTCACAAAAACACCTCTTGAGTGTTCCTGTTGATTCTCTTTTTGACGCTAAATAAAGTCTTTACATATTTAGATGCTCTTTAGTTGTCATTTAGGCAAGACCAGCAGGTCAATGTGAGTCCGTCTGGAAGATCAGACCCTGTAGTTGGGGACTTAAGATCTCTGTTACATTAAAATGCACACAGAGCAGTTTAACTTCACCATTACAAATATGAGGTTATTTATATATTTAGGATTTGAATGTCTTATTTTCGCTGAATGTCATATTTCTGTAATTCCTTTGGATCTTTAAAAAAAAATATATATATTTTCATATTTAATTTTCTCTGTGATAGTTGGTTTGTTTTGGTGATTTGAATGTCTCTTTTTCTCTTTGTCGTGATGCTGTTGATGTCGTGTGTGAAGCATATATTATGTAGAAATAAACTTTGACCTTACATGAAGCTTATTCTGGGTTGTACCTGACTCAGGATTTTCCAGTAGAATCAATACGATTTTGCAGCTCTACATAAAACTTCAGAAAATCAGGGACTTCATGATTTGCAGAAAAACTGCAGTTTTTAGACATTAACAATCCTTTAATGAAAACACATAGACACTGGCACTCTTTTCCAAACTCAAAAAGCCTCTTTGTGTTTCCCTCCTGATGTATTGCATTAGTGAGTGAAGAAGCAGACTCAGACCCCCTTAAATAGACAGCAGGTAAGGTGTGAGTTCTTTCAGGATGGACAGATCAGGCTCTGTGTGTCTCTGCAGGACAGTGATGCAGAGGGTAGCAGCTGAGACTCAGAAGCTTCGGCTGCTTCTCGATGGCTTCCTCATCTAGAATCAGCATGCTGCCTCTCACAGTGAGGCATGCATGAGGGAGCGAGAGGAACAAACAGACTGTGTTTGCCCCGTAAGTCAGATGAATTCTTCCACTCTGCAGGAGTTTGAATACTCTCTGAGGGACTTTGTGTGTGTGTGTGTGTGTTATTATCTTTGCTGTTTTTCATTTGGACTCTGTTTGCCATCCTCTGAGTGGTTAAGCAGAAACTTATCTAGCAGCAGCAGATGACCAGCACAGAGGGACCCCTCCTCTGCTGCTGCTGACCCACTGACCACACCTCAAACCGACACACACACACACACACACACACACACACACACACACACACACACACACACACACACACACACACACACACACACACACACACACACACACACACACACACACACACACACACACACACACACACACTGATGTCAGATTAGAAGGACACAGTGTGTGAACCAGCTGATAAACCGGACCGACTGTAAGTGACATGTTTACTTTATCAAACAGATAAACACTAAATGAAGTGGATATTAACCCAGTGTGCTTCAGCTGTTTTCCATGCCAGCCTTCACACCTAGAGCAGATGCTTCTTGTAAATGTGGTGCATGAAACAGGGGTTCCTTGTTAATTCCTTTTTTCCCCCACTCACATTGTCCCAGCAAGACCAAACAGTCAAACTCACAAGGAAGATACGTACTCTTAAATCCCTCTAGCAGAGCAATGGAGACTGTGAGAAATGGAGACTAAAACGATTAGCTAGACTGACATCAGGCACCTAAAAACCAAGAAGGCTTTTACAAAAAAAGAGGTTTATTTAGCATTCCATTTCATATCTACCAACAACAACAACAGAGCACAATTTTTTCCCAAAAAAAAACCAGGTCTGGTTTAGACTGATATATGGTGACAGATGTTCTGATTGGAAGGAAAAACACAGTATCTGTAAACTTTTACTTAAAAAGCATCAAGTAGGGTGGAAGATACCTTAGCAACCGAAACACACACACATGCAAACACACCAGGATCACATCATCTAAAGACCAGCTGTGTTTAAATTATAGATTTGCATGAGAGAAATCTTAACTAGATCTGATCTGCATGACATTAACAGTGAAAGGAGAAGGGGGTGGGGGGGGTCTGTTTAGTAATCAGCAGGGTCTCAAACAGAGGAAATCAGAGCATCGGTGTATCAACAGATTAGTGTTGGTGAAGATCCACAGAAGTGTGTGTCGGTGTGTTGGTGTCATCAGTAACAGGAGAGAGCGGGGTGTCATAGCTGTGTGCTGAGGTAAAGGGTCAGAGGTTTGGGACAGGCGTCACCACAGCTCACCTCCACCATGTGACCATATGACTGCTCTCTGATTACACACTGATGTGTGTGTGTGTGTGTGTGTGTGTGTGTGTGTGTGTGTGTCACAGCGCATGCATGCAGCAGGAAACATCCACCAGAACATGAGCTGGGGTGCACACATGCCTGTCCCATGCTGGGAAGTGATCGTGGGCACCTGATGATGGGGAATGTGACTTCATGGAGCCAGCTGTACCGGAGCGAGTGTTTATGTGTGTGATTATGATCAGCCTATAAACACCGCACACACACGCTCTTTACCCTGCTAAACCAGAGACCGGATGAAAGAGATGGATGTATACTCCAGGTCTGATGGGGAAGTGTATCAAACCTGCAGTCTTTTTAAAGGCCGGCTCCTCGACTTTAGGAGAAAAGGTGTAGCCAGCTTGAATACCCCAGTCTGCGCAGGTGGATGACATCAAATCAACTGGCTCCGCCCCTTTGTACCTGAAGGCAAGTTGAATGGAGAGATGCAAGGCAACAGGAGGTGCAGTGACAGAGTCGGGGTCGTCACAACCCGAGCGTTAGTATGCCATTCGAAACATACTAAACTACGGGTCACATTATGTTCTTCCGGTCCGAGCTAAGTTGGATAAGCTAGCATCAAGCTAGCTGTTGATATTCAAATGAAATACTTTTTGACTGGGGAACAAATCTAGTAAAATCTGCACATTTCTAGGATAAAATTTGCCGCATTTATCTACCCTCTGTTTCACTCTAGTTCCACCATCATGTCCAAATATGGTTATGCCTTCTGACGAAAAACAACAACAGCAAAATGGTAAAAACCAAAATGTAAAACTTTAAGCATCAAACAGATAGTCCACAAACCAATAGTTACATCAACATCCATTTTATCGGAACAGTTTATGCTTCTAACTCATCACCACTTCCATCTGCAGTGTCTCAGATATCTGCCCATCAGACAGGAAGTCAAGTTTTCAGGCTTGTTTCAGTAATCCCCCCTCGTCATCACACTGAATTAAGATAAAAGTCTCTGACTGGTGGCGACACACCTCAGGCATGTGTCTGCATGCTGGTCATGACCTCAGTCATGACCAGTAAACAGGTGACTAATGCTCCTCTGATGGATTTAGAAAAAGGACGAGAGGCGCCTTACAACACCAGTCCATTTTGGGATCTGGGAGGCTTTTAGAGCTGCAACACCCAGGACGGGTCCATCCTCTGAGTGTGACAGAGGCGTGACTCATTAATGTGTGTGTGTGTGTGTGTGTGTGTGTGTGTGTGTGTGTGTGTGTGTGTGTGTGTGTGTGTGCGTTTCATGTTACACTGTCCCTGCAGAGAGCCTGGCAGCAGCATCATCAGTTTAACTCATTACAGAAACACTATCTGATAGGATTGAGGCTACAACTATAGATATTACTCTATGTTGATTCATCTGCTGATTATTTCTGGTGTAATTGATTAGATGGCGGGTCTACATTTTTTTTTAAAAGACTGAAAGCTGGAGCTGAGGCGGGTTTTAAGCCTCCTGACAAAACGTTACACCGTGCCCACATGCCAATCATGTCACCTACGTGCCTAACTATGGATAACACATATCGTTCTCAAAATCAGAACGGATGCATCATTAAAAAATTCACCCCGTACACTGTGCTGATGGAGCTAATCAGACATATTTGTTTTTTTATAAACAGGCTGTAAACATGTTAATCTCTGCTGTAAAAACAGACTTTTTAGAATGGGTGTGTATGTGACTTCCTGTGCTTCTGTATCCAGCCTCTAGTGGACACTCGAGGAACTGCAGGATTTTACACTTCAGCATCGGCTTCATTTTTCATCCCGAGGTTACTGCTTGGTCTCAACCTAGGTTTGCTTAACTTCCTGTTTGGATAAAAAAAAAAACATTCCTTTATTTTGCAAGAAAATAATGAATTTCCTGTCGATCCAAAGGTAGAGATTAACTTAACCACGGAAAAGGAACTCGCTAAGGATCGGAAAGCTAATGAAAATGGCCAAAGGGAAAACAGTTTTTTGTAGTGAAATGAGCCATTCAAAGGCGCCGCAGTGGTGTCGTATATTTCCATCGCTCTTGGCTGCAGAAAGACGCTACAGTGGATTGACTGAATTAATGCATTACTTTCTGACATTAATCCCATCGCTACTAACGGTTTAACGCTGACAGCTCTACTAAAACTCTAGTTTTAGATGTAATAGACACTAAGACATTTTTCCACAGCATTGGATTAAAGTAAAGTTTTCTTCTTGGGTTTCCATCCTTCTTGCTGCTTCTGGTCACTTGTGCCCGCAGCAGGCTGTTAGCTTCAGATTGCAACGTTCCCGTATGGCGGTGGCTCAGACAGTGGTGTGAAGGAGGTGGTGCAGCGGAGAGAAAACTTGTTTTTTATGACTGTGGGAATCGATGTCTCCATCCCTCCCTCCTCTCTCAATGAGCTCTTTCCCTCCCTCTTTCTTTTCTTCACTCAGTGTCTCTCTTCACGCTCCACGCCTCGTCTTGCAGGATTGATAGCCTCGTAAGATTCTCCCTTTAGACGCCTAAAGACAGCGTGATTTAGGAGCGAAGGCATCTGCTAGCATGTGCATGTGTGTGTGTACAAGAGTGTGTGTGTTATAATGAGCTCATTTTGACCGTTTCTTTGAAAGTAAATGTGCGCCCCTGTGTGAACTTGGGTGCATGTTAGTGTGTGTGTGTGTGTGTGTGTGCTGATACAGAATCAGGCCTCATACATGAAATAATTCACGAAGAGTGTCCACAGTATTAGTAGCATCAGCAGTGATTTTATGCCTGAGCTTATACATCCATAAACAAATAAACTTTCATGTCTGTCTTAATAACTGTTGGCACTAAGAAGTTTCAGTCAGCAGCTTTAAAAACAGGCTGTAATAGCTGCAACATAATTCTTGCTCCTGATGTTTTTGTCGCTGACAGATTGTTATTCTTTGTGTGTGACATTACATAAATGATCCCTACACAGAAAGACCTTTTAATTAAATAGAAACAATTGCTAAATTCCTCTCTCCAAAGACTCCAGACTCCATCCACAAAATCTGTAATTTAATCTTGCAGAATATGGAAATTAATTGTCCACCCCTACCTCACTTTTTTTTTTTTACTTTGTGTGTGTTACTAATAATAATATAGTGTAGAATCAGGTATAACCATTTAAAAAGCAACAAATACACAAGCACACAAACCAAGCACTTGAGGCAGTGTGTTCTGTAAGAGTAAGTTTGTGTTTTCGTCAACGGAGTCCGAAGGTTTCAAAGAGAGCGCTGCATTTATTCACAAAGGTCGTTCTCTGCATGGAGCTTTGCTTTCACATCATCAGAAATATAATCCTGAGCATGTCAGGAACATAAAGAAGCACTTCTAGTTGTCTGTGATTTGGTAAGTAATCATCAGTGGGCACTCTTGACCCTCATGCCTCTAACGTTCACTCAGTCAGATGAAGCTAAAGCTAACGATAAGCTGCTCTCTGATTATATTTAGGCGATTTATGGACAGAAAAACTGTTTTCTGGTTTATTTTTGCAGTGTTCTGTAGAAGAAGAAGAAAAGCAGAGTGTGTCATTTTGTTTGTCTTGTTTTATGACTAAAGATGATAATTAGCAACTTGCTAAATCTGGTGCAACCATCTTTTTCTTTGTATAAATGATCAATGCCGTTGCTCACTGTCCCCTAATAAATACAGTAAAGTAGATTAAAGGACTGTTGCACAAGTCTTAAAAGGATACTGATGAGGTGGAAAGAATCACCCAGACACTGACTTGCAAAAACAACTGTAGCTTAGAATAAAGTGTCAGGTTGAGTGAAATATTGACCGCCTACGTACTCTACACCTGCATACACCGACTTCCCCCCCGGAAGCACCATTTGAACAAAAGGAGTGTGATGTGTGCACAGACAGAGAATGACTGATGTGTGTGTGTGTGTGTGTGTGTGTGTGTGTGTGTGTGTGTGTCTATCGATGATGTCAACAGTGCTGTAATGGAACAATGTGAGACGACGAGGGGGAACGATGGAGTTTGAAGACCATACAGTCATGCACACCTGCATAAACACTCACCTACACATGCACAGCTCAGTGTGAGAAATACATGTAAGCGAGGAGCAAGAGTAGATCAAAAATAAAACTTTTCATGTTGGATATCGTCCAGTTAAGAAGTGGGCATGGGGGCACGCTGGTGGCGCAGTGGCAGGGCGCGCGTCCCATGTGTTGAGACTCTCGTCTCGAGCGGTAGGCCACGGGTTCGCATCCACCCGTGGCCCCTTTCCGCATGTCATTCCCCGCTCTCTAGGCACGTTCTGATTAAAGGCACGAAAAAGCCCAAAATAAATCTTAAAAAAAAAAAAAGAAGTGGGCATGAAGATTTCTTGCTTTTCCGTCTCCTGAAGTATTTCCTGAAAGCACTGCGTTTGGAATATGTGCCGTATGCAAACAGGTAAGCTCATATGGCAGCGAGGTGTGTACATAGTTTGGTATAGGCGTATATCTCAGAGCAGATATAAAGAGTGCCTTTTTACGCAGAAAGGTTTAAATACAGTAGAGTTACTGTTGTTGTCAGAGAGCAAACATGACGCACAGGAGGCATCTGTGTGAGTCTGACCCACAATGGACTGAAGGTGCCCCATCAAAGACGACCTGACCACTGAGGAATCTGGGTCAGAGAGAGGGGCCGTGTGTGCAAGGTCTGCAGGTGTACGGGTGTGTGTGTGTGTGTGTGTGTGTGTGTGTGTGTGTGTGTGTGTGTGTGTGTGTGTTAAAGGCAGTCTGATTAAGTCTTGTCTCTGTAGCAGTGGGCCTTGGAGTGATCTTAAGAGAAACTTGAACTCTGGAGCCACCTTGAGTCGGAGAAAAACATACTGCAATGCAGAAGTTAAAATTCATGCATGAAGCTCACAGCAGTCATGTGCAGACGGTCTGTGGTCGAAAACTTCAGGAGCTTTCCAGGGGTATCACTCAGGAGTACTGGAGTGCAAATGTGCACTGACAGCCAGGTCAGGAGAATTACAGGAGCAGTCCCCCTGAGATTATCTAGATGTGTTCAGAGTGCAGATGTGAAAACAGCTAAAGTGAGTACTCCAGAAAATCACCTCTCGCTCTCTCGTGCAGCACAGATGTTCAGATATAAACATCCCACATGTCGAGGGAAACACTATCTGAAGAACTTATCTCTGTTGTGTGCGAGGGCTCCCAAACAAGGCTTCCTCAGTATGCTGGTCTGAATGTCCTTTAAGGGGTCAGATCTATTGCATCAGCAGCACAAAGCACATCCATTCATGCACAACCCACCCCGGGTACACACCGCTATTAATTATGAGTCTGGAAACATTCTGCTTAGCACGAAATCAGGACTATTTCTGCGGCTCATATATTCTGTCAGAAGAAGGCAAGTATGCAAAGTGACATCCAGTTGTAGCGCTGATCACTTAAAGTATTTTTAAAACTGCCCCGCCCCCCTGTGGTGAAGATAAGAACTGCAGCCTACAGCCTTTCCTATTCATTCAACCACTCAGCTTCTGATACAGCTTTTAGGAATTGACGAAAGGCGCCTGTTTATCATGAGAGCATTAAGATGTCATTTTACCTGTATGGGTCTGCCGTCCTCTGACCCAATCATATTCCTCCATTCCATCAGCGATCGCTGCAGGGTGTCCAATCCTGTCTCCCAGAGTCGAACGTACCCGCCCATATCCACTGTGACCACACCTCCAGTCCCCAGAGCGGCCAGGAGCACGTCCGACTCCGACACCTTCGACAACCAGCTGGTGTACGGCGACACGGACATCGACCTGCCAATCACAGACGAGCTTCTTAACAACAATTGGAAAGTTAGAAAACCTGCAGGATGGTGTTCACACATCCCTTTAATTTCAGAATTGATTCGGATAGATCACGTTGGGGAGGGTTGATTTGGAAATGTATTTGTGACTTGAAATGATCTTGAACTCCTCGGAAAGCCTTGAATTGATTTAGTTAGGAGAAAAATGTCTTGATGTGGGAGTTCAAGTCACGGTTTCATCAATGGTTGTGCATTCCAAGTAGGAAGAATAATAATATTATACCTGAAACTATCTATTATTGACGATGACATCAAAATCAGTGAGATAGCACAATTGCTTCTTTTTCTAATGCGGTCATAAAAATCCACTCAGGACGCCTCCTTTTACTCAACCAGCCACGGAAAATCTGGTCCATGGAAATAAACAACCAAGGACACTGCACTTACTAAAATACTGCTGTTCTTGGCTGCTCAATATCTAATATATATCAAGAGATCATCCTGATGCATCACTTCACGACATCAATCCAAGATATGGAAACACCTGTGCAGGTGTGTCCTCTGAGGGCATTGTGGGCACCTACACATTTAATCCATTCACACACTGATGGTAGGGGCTGCCATGTAAAGTGACCATCAGAAGTAACTAATCCTGTTCACACGCCGCAGATGAAGCAATGGGAGCAACTTGTGGTTAAGTGGGAAACATTAATCATGTGGCTGCAGGAGCTGGGGATCGGATCCCGGACCTTCAGTTGGGAGACGACCGACTCTACCACTGAGCCACAGCCGCCCCTACAACATCTTAATCATATGATACAGGTGCACCTCATGAAGTGTCAGCTGAAGTGTACAGAGAATATTCATCAGTGTTTCCTAGTGTAATGATGTCTCTGACCACAGGGTGTTGCTAGAGGATGAAAAATAACATTCTTAGTTCTTTAATTAATGCAGAGAGAGTTGAGTGTGTTTACCTCGGGACAGGAACATATTTGACTTTTTTGGAGTTCAGATCAGTGACCTCCAGGTACGCCGCTGTCATCGGAGGAGTGACATCTGAGTGACAAACATGAACACAAGTCTTCACTCACTGAACGACGACTCTGGTAATATGTATGTGCTTGGTTGTGAACAGAGTGATCTGAACTCTGACCTTTGGGGTAGGCCTCTTTCAGGGGGACCTTGTTGGGCGGGAGGGCTCGGACCACCTGATTGGCCGAGAGCAGGCTGACACAGTTCTCCCGTTTGGGCGTGCTGGACCGGAGTCCGCCTCTGAGGAACATGTAAGACCCGCTGTCGCTGCTCTTCACCACTGACAGGTCGACGGGCCTCTTAAAGCTGTACACCTCGTTAGGGGACTGGATGAATCAGAAAATGAAAATATCAATAATTAAACATTGAGCAGACTGAATTTATACTACCTCTACATTTATATTAATTGTTACATATTGTATATTCTCACCACAAGGTCAGGGAAGCCCACAACGATCTGTGCGTAGGAGCCGCTGTCTGCCAGGACCCTGTTAGGAGAAACAATCTTCTGGTCCAGAGCAGCGCTGAGGTTCTCGTTGGGCAGCTGATCACACGACAGCATCTGGGAACGGAGACCTCGGCTGGGATTGATGGAGGAGGGAGAAGAGGATATGTTAAAGTCAGTGAAAATCAAAATCAGAAATTTGTCTCTAAAAACATGTTTGAGAAAAGTTGCTGTAAACATGTGAAAAGACAGAGAACTGCCTGAGTTATGGATTTAGACCTTTATAAAGCTTTTCATCACTTTAAGGCTCAGGTATTTGTTCCACAAGTGGATCTCCTTCAGATTCTACAGCTGAGGGAGTCAAAGGGAAAAGAGGTTCCTGCTTCATATCTCATGATTATGAAACTACATTTTATCTACTTGGCCATTTTTCTCATCACTGAAATTTGGCTTGATGTTTTATAACACAGTCTTCTGTTGTATGAAGAACTTCAAATATATGTTTTTAATTACTAAACGCTGAAGCTTCAGCGTCCACCACATGGCAACCTGCATGAGCATCGACTCTAGAGAGGAGGGGGCGGGGGGAGACAGCTCTCTACAATGTTTAGAATTCAGACTGCAGTACACATTTTAAACACTAGGGGTCAGAGTTACATATCGCTCCTTAAAGAAAATAAAACATGAAAAATTCATCT